AAAAATCAGCCAGCACATTAATTACTGAGATAAGCTTTCCTTTCATATAGCTCCGTTAGAGAGCATCCTGGAGTGTAATTAGTGAGCAAGCCCTACAGTAAAGAAGATGCTACATTTCTCTGAGGTGACCAAATTTGGCTCCATAGAGTCTTCCTGGACTGTCTTTATTTTTTAATATTTTGTGAACAATCAATGAGGAAGCTACAGGTGCCAACTCAGTAACTCCAGAAAGAATCCGTTCTTGGCAATGAATGAACATATGGTTTGGTCATGTTGATTATCCTTATAATCATCACTGAATCTTACTGACCCATGTAGCTTGAACTGTACAAGTATAGATGAAATACAGGCTCCTTCATCATGAAATCACCATTACCAACTCTGTTAATGTAGTCACTTTCCCTTATCATTTGTTAAGACAGTACATGAAATGGTGGTATCTTAATATGGGTCCTGGTCACTAGTGACCTTGTGGTCACTAGTTTTTCTTGCTTAGTTTCTCATTTCTTCTGGGTCCACATTTTCAAGGATTCTGATCTTGGTATCTTTAGCATCAAGGGTTCCTCTTCTAGTGCTCCCTCAGTTTCTAGTATTAAACATATTTTTGATTCAATTAGATATAGGAAGCAAAAAGTCTATGAGTCTCAGTTCATATGACTCTCCGTTGCTTTAGTTTTTCCAACATGGCCAACTCTCAAGAGACTGGGAAAAATATTTCAAGGAAACAGAAAAACCAAGTCTTCCTCTGTGGTATGGATAATCATCATACAGAGAAATCGCCATACTCAGGCAAGTCTCTCACACCATACTCAAATTAGTGTCTTTAGCTCTCTTGAGACAGCATACTCTTCCTTCTAGAGATCACAGCTACAAAGGCCTTAGATATTTCTTATGATATTTACTGAAGTCATGCTAAGTCTCAGTGTTTCTGGACAACACAAAAATGATGTGATTTTGGAGGAAGAATTTTTCCAGGATGACTCTGAACAAGACCATCCATTTTTCTCAAGGCTTTAGACCTCCTGGTTTGACTATTTTCTTAACAAACTCTTCATTTTGCAATCATGTAAAATTGACCAACCATCAGCTAAAACTACACTAAATCTATGAGTCATTTGCTGCAATCTCCCCTGCATCTACATTCAAAATTAAACACAACAGGGAAGTTCCTATAGCTAATCACAATATATCCTCATTTCCGTTCCCTGGCCTATCTCCAGTCTTCTATCTGTACTTAGTATTCCACTCCTGAGTTAATCTGTTCAGGATGTATGGATATAGCTTAGTTCTGCTAAGATCTCAAGGCAACTAGAAACTCTAGGGTGCTTGCTAACTAGTTCCTGGATTTATTTTCCATTTTCAAGAGTGATCCCCTTAAGCCAGATTGAATTCTCCTCAGCAAAAACTCACAGAACTTTTCTACCCTGAATCTGGTTTCCTGAGAAGAAACCAGCCTTGTAAGGTCATAGGTTCTCTTCAATTGGAATCTTCTGAATCTAAGCCCTAAATGCCTTGATAATGCTTATAGACTTGGATATAGGGACAGGTGTGAGTTCCCTCAGTTGTCATCTCTGTGGACACACAATTGTGAAATGCAACGGTTTTCTATAAACCTTCAGGGTGTACTCTAAGAATCTAACCTTTCCCTCATTTCCAGGTTCCAACCTTCTTCTGTCTGCTGCTCATCCAAAGACACATGAGGCAACTGGAGCCCAACTTGGAATGACCCAATAGCATTAGCCAGAATGTGTAGGTGGAATAGTAGCAAAGAAGAGATTTTAAAAAGGTGTGATGTAATCTCAGCACTTAGGAGGCTGAAGCAGGAGGATTGTAAGTTTGAGGCCAGGCTGGGACACATAGATAGTTTCAGGCCAGTCTGAGCTACATAAGGAGACTCTGTCTCAAAAAAAAAGGAATTTACCAAGGGAAAAAAAATTAGAAAAAGGACAACAACAGCAGATTTTTTTTTTTAATTAGGGAATTTTCCACCAAGAAAACTAACAGGGTTAGTAAATTAGGTTTTTTGTTTGCTTGAGATAGAGTCTCAGTTTGTAGTCCAGGCTTCCTGGACCTTGAGATCCTTCTGCCTCAGCCTCCCAAGAGTTGGTACTACAAATTGCATCACTACATCCAACTCCAATAAGTGTTTTAACCAAGAGATCTGAGAAACTTGACGTGTTTCAGAATACAGATTTTTTCGTTCCAGATTGTTGACGTCAGCTCTAATTTCCCTCTGTATACCTATTCTTATTTTCTTAGAAGAGTTCCTTTTCTAAAATACTCATCTGACAAGTATATACTTGTGAACTCTCCAGTCGGGACAGTGATTTAGCTACAGTTATAGGACTAAGATAACAGTGACTTAAGTAAGATGGAAGTCTAGTTCCCTCTCACGTAACAGTCTGGGATATAAGAAGCCTTGAACTGATCTGGGGCTCCACAATCATGAGGCCCAGCCTCCTTCTACATCCTCAACATGCAGCTTCTGTCTTGTGCTCCCACTGCTGCTCTTATGTCCACATTCCAGATGTAGGAAATGGGAAAGTAGAAAGGAAGTTGTAAGTGGAAGCCTGTCACTTTACTCCTATTCCAGTGCCCAGACTTAATTAGCTTCAAAGAAGTTTGGGTAATATAGAATTTTATTGGACAACAATGTGTCCTTAGATAAAATGATATTCCTCTAATTTTGGGGAAAAGGCATTGGGTATTAAAGTCTGTGATGGATAAGATGAGAAGAAATCTTGTCCATAGTTTGGCACTGGGGACAGCAACAGCTAGTGGAACTTGAAGCAATGAAGTCATTACCCGAAATAATCTTCCTGAGATACAATCATTGGGGACATAAATGAAAGCTGATTGTTTTTACTGGTGCTTAGCTAAGCTATCATGAAGTAATTATCAGAGACTATTGAAGAAGCATAAGAAAGGGTAGTTTCATGACATATTTTATTTCACAAGAAAGTAGTATCACCCTATAGGGATAACCAAAGATCACCAACCACCTCAAATTATTTATATGACCAAAGCCAAGCTGGATCCAATGTGCCAAGAAATAGGGAGAAATGTTTCAGAGAACTTCAGAGGCCCTCAGAGGAAATGCAGAATCAGTTTATAGAACTGGAAAGGCCCAAAGAACCTCCAAGTCTTCAACTGTTGGAAAATGTTAATAGTGGAGATGATATCCACACAATGACTTTTGGGTCTGGGATGGAGGTGGAAGAAACCCCAACATTTCTAGAGAAGCCAGGGCTACCTAATATATAAAGGAGCAATTGGCTTTTGACTGTCAAAAAATTGAAGACATTTGATTTCCAACACAGGAGTAGTGTAAGCACATGAAGGAGCTAGACACTTGCTGGCAGAAACAATCCCGGTTTCCTAGGGTCTTTGTCAGTTAAGTTGAATGGATTCCATTCTTGCCAAAGAAGAGTGCTGCTGGAAGAGGTGGCTGTGGTCCATTAAATAGTAACTACTAGGGGCAGGGAAGGCACTCAGTAGCACACAATGGCCTGTAAGGCAGTTCCCCTGGGAAAGGAGAAGCACAAAGTACTGTGATGACTTCTTGTTATTGCTCTGAGCTGGGAAGGTCTGCCATCGGTTCAAAACAGGGGATGAGAATAGTCATCCTCACCATAAGCACAGAATGGATCAAATCAGGTTATTCACATACTCAGGGTGATGATTAATAATAACTACAACTCATACCTCCTTAATAACAATATACTTAATGCCCCACCTATGTCTAAAAGGGATCTGACCCAGCTTACATTGAAAAGCACAGATGTAATAAAATATAGCCTATTGGAACTATAGTAAAAAGACATAGAAAAAAGTGGGAAAAGATAGGGGAAGAAGATAATTTATACCAGAAAACTTAGGATAAACAAGTTCTACAAAGAAGAACAAAGCTGAGATTCCTGGAAGCCAAAGCAAAGAAGAAACACAAATAGGTTGCCTAGTTCTCATTTTTAAGAGAAAAATACAGCATTCAGAAGATACTAACTCTGGAAAACACTGGTCTTGATGTTTTTTATATAAGGAGCATGGGATATCATAAAGATAGAAACAACATTAAAAATTAGAGCTAGTTTTCAATGCCTTTGTGTGTTGTATGTCTGCTGAGAATAGAAACCAAAACCTTGTATGTGCTAAACTCCTGCTGTACCACTGATGACTATGATTATTTCTTATATCTCTCTTCAAAATATACTCTTACTCACCCTGTAAGAGTTTAAGAGTGGGAAATGTGTGTGTGTGTAAACATACACACATATAGGGATGTGTGAAACCATGATATATTCCAGAAATTTGGCTTTACCTAGAAATAAACCTTGGAGGGCTTTAAGGAAGTAGTGGCAGGCATTCTCCTAGAATATCATCATCAGTTGACTCAGTCAACAAGCCTTCTTTAAAATGTATTTTAATAAATGCATTTTAATAAATGTAGATTTATGCTAAAATCATCCACTGCCCTCCTTTTTCCTTCATTTTCTGCAGAAGTAATGCAATCTTTTTGAAACTCTTAAAGTTTCAAAAACCATGTAAGTGAGGATTACATTATAATGAGGTAAACCCAATGAAAACTGGCTTCAGCCATAATGGGATTTATTGTCCAGGTAACAGAAGTCTAAAGAAGGGCAGTGTTTGGGGCAGGTAAATTCATTGGCTTAATGACATCACCAAAGACCCATCTATTTCTACTATTCAGTTCTGCCACCTGCATAATGAATTGTATCCATGGCTGACTCTTCTGGGGTTTTTTCTTTCATGTCTAGTATATGACAGGAAATTCCAGAAGGTTCCAGAAATATCACTTTATTACTTCTGGGCCTGAAATGGGTTACAGACTCATCTCTAAACATGTATTGGTGTTAAGGGAGGGGCCTTTGACGATTGCTTTAGCCTGAGCTTCATGTTCAAGTCTTGGAGCCAGGACTGGATTTAGCTTCTGGCAACATAGGTGCAATAATGAAGAAAGGCATACTATTAGCCAAAAAAGGAGGGAACGGATCTTAGTGAAGCAGTAACAAAGTTGAGCACAACATCCAGCTCCTGGACACTTCAGACTGTAATTTGGAAACATGTAAGTGGAAAGATTTTTTAAATGATTTTATTGTTCTATACTTTTTTTTTTTTGCAGCATTAATTGAGCTCAATGGGAATGAAGAGAAATAAAATCCACCTATTACAACACTTTTTAAGTCAGTTTTTCCTTCAAGTTTTTACATAATATTTTAATTTTTGGGAGGGGGGCAATGTTAGGGATGGAATCCAGGGACTTGCATATGCTAGGAAAGCACTCTGCCCAGATCTACATCTCCAGGCTCCATACATATTTGTTTGTTTTTTGTTGTTGTCTGGAGGTAGGTTCTCCTTGTGTTGCCTAGGCTCCAGACTGGCTTTGAATTTGTGATCCTCCTGCCCCAGGCTAGTGAGTGCTGGGATTATAGACATGTACCACCACACTCTGGCTTACAATATGGTTCTTGATATAGATTTAAGTTATATGATCCATTGGATACCAAAATGAAGAAATTCTTAGCTTCTTTGAGGATGATGTTCTTTTGAGTTTACCAAGTACTTTTGCAATTCATCTTCTGACTCAGACAGTAAAACTTTCAAAGAGTTTTAAATAGGAACACCTCATAAACTTGCATAATCCTAAGTGTTGGATTAATTTTTGGAAAGACAGTCAGAATCTCTAGTCAGAGGACTTAGGGCAGTGGAGTGAATATTTGTGTAGTGTAGAATGGTGGTTATATTTATGGCCTTTGAAGTAAGACTGTCTTGAGTTTGAATTTCTACTGCCCTTGCTTGCTCTATGATCTTTGGAGGAGTTATTAATAACATTCTGGGTCTCAGTTACATATAAAATGGATATGGAAGTTCCTACTTTAGCAGGTTTTTGTCGGGATTGTGAGACACAATCTATACAAAGCCTGTGAATTTAAGTATCAATAATGGTGGTTATTATTGGGATTGGGCAACTGTGACTGTGATCTGAGGTCATGAATAAGAGGTATGATATAGCATGTGTACAGAAATTTCATTTCTAAGACTGTGGCATGACAGAAAAATTTCTTTTGGTGGTACTGGAGTTGGAACTTAGGGACTCATGCTTGCTAGCAGGCACTCTTTACTTAAGCCACTCCACCAGCCCAGGAATTTCATTTCTGTCCAGTAAATAAATGAGAACTTTCTGTATTGTACAGTGAAACCATCACCTGATCTCTGAATTCCCTTCAGAGCACTCTCATGTAGTCCTTGTCCAGTCTCTGAAAATTGCCAGATGAGGCCTGAACATACTGACATACTGGCACTTGACACTCTGAGTCATATTTTGACTCCTTCCATTTCCTGGTCTAGAGTCACCTTTTGAAACACATAGAACAACTTAAGATAAAAACCAGGAAGGTCAGCCCTGCCCAGTGCCCACACCCCATCTGTGTGACCCTCAGCAGACTGTCCTTTGTGACCTTCAGCAGACTGTCCTTTGCTGACATTCCCAGGGTGAAAGGGCTGTTTGTGAAATGGCCCATTTCATACAGGAAAGCACTAGTGGCCAGAAAGGGTTGTCTTTTATGAAACCTAAGTTTTCTCCTGGTGACTTCCCACTCTTAGGACTGATTCCTATACAGAATCCATCTACTTGGGAGGCAGGCAGATCTACATTTGAGTCCTGGCTCCATTAGTTATCTACCTTGGGCAAGTGAATTAAACTCTCAAACTGGAATATGGGAATAAGAATAGCACTCACCAGACAGGGTGAGTGATTAAATGAAAAACATGTCAAGTGCACAGCACAGAACAAGAAACAGGCATTCAAGGGCAACAAGTGGTTACCCTGGTAATTTCTTTCCTTAATTTGAAAAAAAGATGATGGTGAGATGGACACATTGAGTCCTTGACAGTTTTAGAAATCTCTGAGCTGGTTCTTCACAGTAAAGTCAAACTGGGATCCTTATTGCCTGAATAGAAACTAATGGGGGCGTTGAGTGAAGGAGACACCAAAAAAAGAGCAACAAGTCATTTTCATCTTCTACCTCAATGCACCTTAGGGATGTGATCCCCTCACAGGACTACCAGTGGTTCCTGGGGCAATGGGTACAGTGATTTTTCCCCTGGGCCAGTGAGGGGTGTTCTAAGTGGTCTGTGCACTTTGTAGAACCTCTCCCAATCCCAAGGAGGTTCTGAGTGCCCTGGAAGAGGTGTTTCCTTTTTCTACTCTTAATCTTGAGAATCACTGAAAAAGACACCCACTGTCTCTTGACATCTCTGTAGAAGATAAGTGAAATTGATGGTCTGAGTGCAACAGATCAAGACAGTGGTTCTCAAAGTGTGGACCCATAGCACCAGTGTTACTGGAGGCTCTTGTTAGAAATGCAAATGTTGGGCTCAGTGATAAAGCTGTTGCTAGCCTTCCAGGTGCTTCTGTAGCATATTAAAGTTTAGCAGTTAGATGATGAAGGGGAGAAAGTGATAGGGATTGGAATCATCACCCCATGGAGCAATCCTGGACCTCCCCTGCCCTGCTTTTACATTCATAGCTCAGCATCCTCCAGACCTGATGCCCATCTGATGTTCAGGCTGGACAACTTTTATGAAGACTGAGTTCTTCCAGTACTGTCTCTGCCTCATACTGTGTAAGGGTTACTGGCCGACTATGCTTGCACGTTAGTTCAGTCTGGCTTCATTAGTCTTACCCAAGACTTGTCTGAATTTATTGTTTTTCCCTTTGGATTAAGGAATGTTTCAGCTTCTTTACAACATCTACTAAATAGAAGTTGCATTTGACTATTTTGATGACATCGCTACTATAGATCCATTATGGAGAAATAACTTTACTCAGTTTGAAAATGATTCACATATTTCATTCTTCCCTATACTGTATTAATTTTTTTCCACTGTTGGCTCAGCCTAACAAATAGAAATTGAGAACCTATTAAGTACAAGGCACTATGCAAAATAAATAAAACACAGTCCTTATTCCTGAGCAGCGTATGACAGCGTGATTAGAACTATTTGCTGAGCTTCTACTGTGCTCCATGCATTCTACACACATCGTCTTTAATCATCACAATATTATAAGAAAGGTATTATATTCCCTATTTTACAGCTGAGGGAGCTGGGACTCAAAACCAAAATCTATATTGTAAGTGGCAGAGCTGGGATTTGTTTAGGTCAGTCTCTCTCCAAAGTTCCTAATCATTCTGCTGCATCAAGTTCATTGTGGGGCATGTCTTCCTCAATAGAACTATTGTCTAAAGATCATACCTTATTACCATTTTACAAAGTACTTCATTAATAGTCCTTATGGGGCAGGTGGTGTGGCTGAAGCTGTAGAGTGCCGGCCTAGCAAGTACAAGACCCTGAATTCAAGCCCCAGTACTACTACCAATTAGGGCAAAAGAAAAAAGTCTGTTCCTTAGTCTCTCTGTCTCTCTCCTCTCTTCTCTCTCTCTTCTCTCTCTCTCTCTCACACACACACACACACACACACACACACAGAGTCCAGAGGTTTTATATATATATATATATAAAATCATGAATTCATAAGAAATAGGTTCCAGCAGCTCAGGCTCTTCCCATTGGTCCTCACAGGTGTGCTTCTTTGGGTGTAGCAGGCTGGTGCTTCAGTTGAACCCAAATTCCTTTCTCTTTGGCTTCTTTCTTTTTCTGATCATTTTTCTTCACATGTTTTGGGAAGCTAGATCTTGGTTCTTAGCATACTCAATCTGCTCAATACTCAATACACACATTGACTCTCTTGGAAAGAATCTTGCTTTTAACTAGACTTGTTCACAGCAATGCCAACAGCCTACTGGGTAACCCTGTAGACTCTTCCAGTTTTGCTATGGTAACATTTATGGGGCAATCCTTTTTGAGCAATACCCATTTTCTTGATATCTACAATATCACCCTTCTTATAGATTCACATGCATGTGACTAAAGGAACAACTCCATGTTTCCTTAAAAGGCCTAGAAAACATGTATCAGGTTCCTTCCTCTTTCCCTTTGTGTTCATCATTTTGGTGAATTACTGGAAGATGGCGATTACAGCCAGAAAAAGCTCTTTAATTTCTTTTAATCTGAAAATTTTATTTAATTATTCTTTGTCTTTCATAACCATGTCAAAATTTTCAGTAACAAAATTAATAGTAACTAATTATAACCCATGGGGCAGGGGAACAATAATGCATGTGCTCAAACTGATATACATATATGAATAAAGGAATGGAGAAAACCAGAAAATCTTTCTTGAAAAATATGCCAGTTAACAAATTCAGTGGGAAGGCTGGAATAAAAAAGTCACTGTTTAATAACCACATCGGTTATAATCAGGCAAAAGTCATCAATGTGTACTTTAAGGCATCTCGTGGGCTCCCATCTAGGCACATGTCTGGCTCCAGGACCATGGGACTTTCTATCTCCTCTGGGGAACAGAAATGTGAACAGTGAGAAGGACACAGCATCTAGGACTGTTGGTGTTTTCTGGTCGTGTAGAAGGTAAGAGACCCATGAATAGCCAGATATTTATGTAGTGTTAAAGTGCCTCCTCACAAAACACTAATTGTAAATAGAAAAATCATTTTGATATAGGGGCTAGGCAGGGATTAGGAAATTAATGGCTGAGAGCCATGGTTTTGTTGTCCATAAGGAATCACATCCTAGACTGCTGATGTTAACAGAATGACTTGTGGCATACAGTAGGGTCTTGATAATTCACAGTCCCTAGAGCCCATTAAAAAAATAACCATCCAAGACCCAAAACTCCCCCCACCCAATATACGGGAGGAGTTGTTGACATATAGCCCAGTCTCTAAAAGTTAATGACACATAACCCATCTTCCAGGACTGACCACCCCCATGTCTGCAGACCCCAATAAAGAGGTCTTGGGACCTCAGCACAGTCCTCCTTCTTGAGCCTGCCCACCTTCCCATCTGGAGGCTGCACTTTCGCTTTGCTTTCACTTTGCTTTGCGTTAGTAAACCTACTCCTTTTAAGTTTCCTCTCTGTCCATACCAGAACTTTCTGGTCCCCAGACTTGGTGACCTAAATCCAGTGAAACTCAAGGAGACACTACTCAGGAGGACTTTTTTTTTTATCTGACTCTGGTAAGCCTACCTTATTATTTATCAATATGGGGGACTACTTTTTCAGTTTTTCTCTCTCTTTCTGGGCTATCATCTTGCAAAACTTACACAACAGTGGGAGGTTACTCCTCCTCCTGTATCTAAAAAGACCAAATACTTACCCACCAATTTGCCTTTTGTATCCTAAACTGTAACTACAAGGATAAAATGTATAGACTTTGGATTCTTTGTGTATTTTCTCTCCCTTCTGTTTTCTTGCTTGTATTAATATAGTTTTACTGTTTGGAAGTTTGGTTATCTTAGCCAGCCCTATTTGGAATGTAACATTCTGTAACTCTTTCCTTTCTTTCTTTTTTAGAAAAATTAGAAGACTTATTCACACAGTAGTATATATTAATCTAACAGAGATTTTCATCATTAACAGAAGTGTCTGCACATCAGTCAAGTCCTGATAGAGACATTCTGTAACTCTTGACTCATGTAATGACTTTTTTTTTTTAAGGTCTAAGTATCCTTTTTTATTTTTTATTTATTATTTTATTCATATGTACATACAATGTTTGGGTCATTTCTCCCTCCTTCCCCCCCACCCCCTCCCTTAACCACCCACCCCCTCTGTCTCCCCCGCTACCCCCTGGCTTCCAGGCAGAAACTATTTTGCCTTTATCTCTAATTTTGTTGAAGAGAGAGTATAAGCAGTAATAGGAAGGAACAGGGTTTTGCCTAGTTGAAAATAAAGGATAGCTATACAGGGGAGTTTGACTTGCATTGCTTTTCTGTGCATGTGTGTTACCGTTCTAAATAATTCTTCTCAACTAATCTTTTTTCTAGTTCCTGCTCCCCTCTCCTATTGGCTCTTGTAAAAGACCTTATTTTTTAAAAAAATCCAAGTAGCAGGAAAGCCTACATAATATCTATGGCTTTGTGTGGACAGGTTGCAGTAAGTATGTAAAGAAAGTTACAAAGAAAAAAATAAAGTCTTGTCCTAAAAGCAAAAGATTATTCAAAAATGAAAATCGGTAGATAAAGGCAAAACTGGGAGGCTAAAAGCATGTTGGAGACAGATTTTGTTAGGGGTTCATGCTGAGATACAAATTGATTTAGAATATGGTAGGGCATGAGGGATAAAACGAAAGTGTTTTTCTTAAAGTAAACAAAAGGGAAACAGGCAGATAAGGAAAAACCAGGAGGCTAAAGCATCACATAAGGATTGGTGGTACGGGTTTTCGTGATGAAAATGTAATGAATAGGAACCCAAAGCTGTCTTTTTTTTTTTTATTCATATTGCATACAAGTCTTGGGTTATTCTCCCCCTGCCCCCACCCCTCCCTACCACCCACTCCGCCCCTCCTCTCCCCACCCCCTCTAAACCAGCAGAAACTATTTGCCCTTATCTCTAATTTTGTTGTAGAGAGAGTATAAGCAATAATAGGAAGGAACAAGGTTTTGCTGGTTGAGATAAGGAGGCTATACGCGAGTTGACTCACATTGATTTCCTGTGCGTGTGTGTTACCTTCTAGGTTAATTCTTTTTGATCTAACCTTTTCTTAGTTCCTGGTCCCTTTTCCTTGGCCTCAGTTGCTTTTAAGGTATCTGCTTTAGTTCTCTGCGTTAAGGGCAACAAATGCTAGCTAGTTTTTTAGGTGTCTTACTATCCTCACACCTCCTTGTGTGCTCTCGCTTTTATCATGTCTCCAAGTCCAAATCCCCTTGTTGTGTTTGCCGTGATCTAATGTCCAGATATGAGGAAACATAGCGATTTTGGTCTTTTGGGCCAAGCTAACCTCACTCAGAAGATGTTCTCCAATTCCATCCATTTACAGCGAATGATAACAATTTCGTTCTTCTTTCATGGCTGCAATAAAATTCCATTGTGATAGATACCCAACATTTTTATCCATTCGTAGTGCTGGGCATCTTGGCTATTTCCATAATCTTGCTATGTGTGGAATAGTGCCGCAATAAACATGGGTGTGCAGGTGCCCTGGACCGTACCTTGTGTCGTTCTTTTTGGGTATATCCCAAGAGTGGTATTGCTGGATCAAAATGGTAGATCAATGTTAGCTTTTTAAGTAGCCTCCAAATTTTTTTCCAGAGTGGTTGTACTAGTCTTACATTCCCACCAACAGTGTAAGAGGGTTCCTTTTTCCCCGCATCCTCGCCAACACCTGTTGTTGGTGGTGTTGCTGATGATGGCTATTCCTAACAGGGGTGAGGTGGAATCTTAGTGTGGTTTTAATTTGCATTTCCTTATTGCTAGAGATGGTGAGCATTTTTTCATGTGTTTTCTGGCCATTTGAATTTCTTCTTTTGAGAAAGTTCTGTAGCTTCACTTGCCCATTTCTTTATTGGTTCATTAGTTTTGGGAGAATTTAGTTTTTTAAGTTCCCTATATATTCTGGTTCAGTCTTTGTCTGATGTGTAGCTGGCAAAATATTTTCTCCCACTGTGGGTGTTTCTCTTCAGTTTTAGAGACCATTTCTTTTGATGAACAGAAGCTTTTTAGTCTTGACGAGGTCCCATTTATCTATGCTTATCCTCTTAACATGCTGTGCTGCTGGGTTCGTTGAAAAATTTCCTTTACTATACCACACAATCCAGACCATTTCACTCCCTCACAGTATCAACTTTTAGAGTTTGTGGTCTGATATTAAGATCCTTGATCCATTTTGAGTTAATATTGGTATAGGTGATATACATGGATTAGTTTCAGTTTTTGCAGACTGCTAACCAGTTTTCCCCACAGTTTTTGATGACGAGGCTGCTATTTCTCCATGGTGTCTTTTTAGCTCCTTTGTCAAAACAAGGTTGGGTTATAGTTTGTGGCTCAATCTGGGTTCTCCTCTTTCTGTTCCACTGGTCTTCAGTCTTGTTTTGTGCCAGTAACATGCGTTTTTCTTGTTTTGTTTGTAATATGTTTGAAGTCAGGTAATCGTGATAACCTCAGCATTGTTTTTTTGACTGAGTATTGCCTTGGCTTTATGCGTGGCCTCTTGTGTTTTCATATAAAATTTCACGGTAAGATTTTCAATCTCTTTAATGAATATCCTTGGAATGTTTGAGGAATTTCATTAAACATGTAGATTTAACGTTTGGAGAGTATAGACATTTAACTATGTTGATTCTACCAATGCCATGAATGCTGTCTTGATAAAATCGTATAAAAAGTCCTCCTCTAAAAAGACTTCCCCTTAAGCTCCAATATAGCAGGGACACAAAAAGCCCCCATCCCATCCCCTCTCTGAGATGCCCTGCTACCCCTGTAGGGGGAGTATTGTTTCGCTGATTTACGAACCACAATCCTCCTGATTTCTGCCTCCTGAGTAGCTAGGATTACAGGCAAGACCACCAGCACTGGCAAATTTACTTATTCTTAATAAACTTTGATTAACTGTGCTATGTTTCTTCTGCTTATGTTTACCATGTGAAAACTTTTATTCATTTCTCAGTGCCCCTCACGCCCTACCAATTCTCAGACTGGTATACAGGAAGAGCCTCAGACATCACTTTGGTAGTAATAGGCACTACTGTCATTCCATAGGTCACACCAAAACAACCCAAGACACTGTGTCGCTATTACCACGTTCCATCTCCATTCCTCAGAGGACAAGAAAGCCCACTCTGCAGCAAGTAGACCCTCTCAATAATTGTCTCTTTTGACATTGTCATCTGACTCTTCTCTTGTCTCTTGACTCAGCTTAAACTTCATAGTTCTTATTTCCAGAGCAAGAATAATTTCTGCATGAGCAGTGCTTATTGTTCCTCTTTCATGCCCCTTTCAGAAATATTTATGCCCAATGTCTGAGCTCTTTCTACATACCCTGTCTAATACTGGGGCTAAATTTTACTATTCTTAATAAACTTTGTATTACTTGTGCTATGTTTTGCTTCTGGCTTTATTTTACCATGTGAAAACATTTTATTCACTTTCTCATGGCCCCTCACGCCCTACCATATTCTCAGACGGGGTATACAGGAAGAGCTCAGACATCACTTGGTGTAGTAATAGCACTGGAGCTTGTCAATCCATAGGTCACTACAAAACAACCCAAGACACTGTGTCCTTACCACAGTTCCCATCTCCATTCCTCAGAGGAGACAAGAAAGCCCACTGCCCTGCAGCAAGAGATCCCTCTCAATAATTGTCTCTTGACATTGTCATTCTGGACTCTTACTCTTGTCTCTTGACTCAGCTTAACTTCATAGTTCTTTATTTCCCAGAGCCAAGAAATTTCTGCATTGAGCAGTGCATTGAGCAGTGCTTATTGTCCTCTTTGCATGCCCCTGTGCGAAATTATTTAATGCCCAATGATTGAGCTCTTCTACATACCCTGTCTAATACAAGTTAGTCTTCTTTCCAAGTCATCAGCAGCATGGCAGACTTCTGGGGGTTTGCAGTGTCTGAGAGCTCC